AAGGGGGCCTACAAGCAAGGCAGAGAGGGACTTTTCACAAGAGCATGGAGTGATAGGACAAGGGGGAATGGCTTTAAACTGAAAGAAGGTAGGTTTAGATTTGGATATTAGAAAAAAATTCTTTACTTTGAGGGTGGTGAGACACCGGAGCAGGCTGCCCAGAGAAGTTGTGGATGCCCCATCCCTGGAAGTGTTCAAGGCCAGGTTAGATGTGAAGGTGTCTCTACCCATGGCAGGAGGATTGGAACTAGATGATCTTAAAGGTCCCTTCCAACCCAAATAATTATATGATTTTAATATATATGTTAAACAGCAATGTATTAAAATATTTTTATTTCCTCTCAAATGTTTTGTCATTAAGATATAGTAATCCTTACAACATCATGTATTTCTGATAAAAATTTTTGTAAAGAAACTGTACAAGCTATTTGGAATTTTACAAGTCTTCTGCACAGTTGATTTGTTGCCTTAGTGTAAGATAAGGCTTATGTCTACCATATGCTGTGAGAGTTTATTTCTTCCTTTAATACTCAGGGGAAAAAAGTAAAATATACAGAATGAAAGGAATCCTAAGACATCAGAAGTTTAGTATTCCTTTTCCTGTAGGAAAAACAAAACCAGAAAGGCATTTCTATTGTGATTTTTTTCTAATGATCTTTACCACTTGTCATGGTTTGACACTGGCCAAACACCAGGCACCCACGATAGCCACTCACTCGCCCTCCCCTGCTACAGCTGGGCAGAGGAAAGGAAAAAAAATTAATGAAGGCTTCATGAGTTGAGATGAGGACCAGGAGAAAACACTCCAAGGACAAAACAGACTCAACTTAGAAGTACAAAGTGAATTTATAACTAACATAGAGGAGGATAATGAGAAGTCAAATAAGCCCTTAAAAACACCTTTTTCCCCCAACCCCTCCCTCCTTCCCACCAACAGTGCAGGGAGACAGGGCATAGGGGTTTTGGTCAGTTCGTCACCCGAGATCTTCCACTGCTCATGGACAGAAGTCATTCCCCTGCTACACTGTGGGGTCCCTCCCATGGGAGACAGTTCTCCATGAGCTTCTCCAATGTGGTTTCAATCTCACGAGCAGCAGTCCTCCCAAAACTACTGCAATGTGAATTCCCCCCATGGGCAAACAGTCCTTCCAAAACTGCTGTGGCGTAGGTCACTCTTGCTTGGGGTGCAGACCTCCAAAGACAGGCTGCTCCAACCTGGAATCATGGGCTTATCCCTCTGTATTTAGTATTAGTGCAGCCTCGCCTTGAGTATTGTGTGCACTTCTTGGCCTCCAATTAAAAAAGGATGTGAAGGTTCTTGAGTTGCCCCCAGAGGAGGGCAACAGTGCTGTTGACAGGACTGGAAGGAATGTCCTACGTGGAATGGCAAAGGACTTTGGGCTTATCTAGCTTGGAAGAAAAAAGGCTCAACTGTGATCTCATTGCTCTCTACAGCTTCCTGAGTAGGGGAACTGGAAAGGGAAGTGCTGAGCTCTTCTCTCTCTTATCCAGTGACAGGACATGTAGGAATGGTTCAAAGCTGCATCAGGGGAGGTTTAGACTTGACCTTAGGAAGCATTTCTTTACCGAGAGGGTGATCAAACTCTGGAACAGGCTTCCTAGAGAGGCAGTTGATGCCCCAAGCCTGTCAGTGTTTGAGGCATTTGAACATTGTTTTTGTGCCCTTCCTCTGGGCTCACTTTAACAGGTCCATGTCTTTCTTGTGCTCAAGTTCTTCATGTACCTTGTTATCATCTCTTCTTGTAAGTAGGTTATATTCACATTCTTCATCTAAGTGCCATAACTTTTTATTAAACTGGACACTACCTTAAGCTACCAACACAAGAAACTGAGCAGTACTCAGTTTGCTCAGTTGGTTTTTCTCTAGAGCTAGGTATACAAACAAGCAAGTTCTTGAAATCAGTCAGGACCCACCAAGCTCATTTTTATCTGGCAGCAAAATGGGGTAGTGTACTCTCAAACTCTCAGTTCGGTGTTGTAAATATTTGTTAGTTTGGTACATGTCATTTCATTCATGAAGACTATGTATGAATAGTCAAGTAATTTTGCACGTAAGTGAATTTGAGAGAAAAAAAGACATCTGGCTGTAGAACTTGAGTTTTATCAAAAATTAAGAGGTGCCTAAGGTGAACAGTTACTGACCAGGGCAAACACTCATTCTGAGTAGAGTGCATAGCTTCTCCTCTGCATTTTTTGCAACTTCTGTAATAGATCTTCCTTCTGTGTATCTTTAGGGCTACTTTTGTTTTGGAAGGCTAAATGTGTTGCACTGTATAGTAAGATTCAGAGTCTCTGAGCAGAGGACAGAAAACAAGTTTTGTGTTGAACCATCCTGCTAAATATATGAATATGCTTTTTATACTGTTTTAACTGCTTGAACTGATTTAGTTAAATCTTACTTTTTCTCATCAACCAGTAATGGAAAACATAAAATCTGTGTGTTTGTAGTTTTTTACTTTGCGAGAACAGATTTTTTTAATAAGTATGTTTTTAAACTTGTTTCCTCATATAACCAAGGGGTGGCTAATGACAAGGTGAAAATGCTTGTTCACTTGGTGCAGTCAAGTCTCAAAAGTCTTTTGGGTTTCTATTCATACTTTTTGAGATATCTTTTAATTTCTAGCTGTTAGTTCTTATAAACATGTTCAAGGGAAGTTGTATTTACTTGGTCTTTATTGCAAATAGCATCTTTACTGTAGCTATTTGCATGGAGGGCTTAATTTTTGAAAACTTCAAATTCCACCTGTTGTTAAAACTGGAGACGCATCTTTCCATGGATTCAGTACAAGCTTGAGTGTTGGAAACAAAATGTATGTAGTCTTATTTAAATTCTGCCACTTCTATCATGTGATATATGTCCTTTTATTTCTCCATAGGAAAATTCAAATATTAAAATATTTATGAAAACTGTTAAGGCTAATTGCACTTTCAGTGCTTAACTCTTGTGACACTATTGCTACTATGAAAATTAATTTTCTGAATACATATGCCAAAGCTATGCTTGGAACATGCACATAACGTTTAAGATTTTGTTTGGATCTGTAAAGAAACCTCAATTAAGTATTTCTCTGTAGGTGGGAATTTAAATGTCCATAGATTAAATTCTGAACATTTCTACAGATATATGAGGGGTTTTTTAATTGATAACATGCATATGTCCAACACTCTCTGACTGTGTCCTTTTAGATATTCCATGTGTAGAGGGTTTAATGCTTTAATGCCAATGTTAGTTTTTTGAATTGTGGTGGGTTGACCTTGGCTGGATGCCAGGTACCTACCAAAGCTGCTCTGTCACTCTCTTCTGCAACTGGACATGAGAAAGAAAATATAGTGAAAGGCTCATGGGTTAAAGATCAGGAGAGATCACTCACTGATTACTATAATGGGCAAAACAGAATCAACTTAGGGATATTAATTGAATTTATTGCAAACAAAATCAGAGCAGGATAGTGAGAAGTAAAATAAATCTTAAAAACACCTTTCCCCCATCCCTCCCTCCTTCCTCAGCTCTACCTTTTCCCTGCCAGAGGTGCAGAGAGACAGGGAAGGGGGTTTCCAGTCAGTTCATGACAGGTTGCTTCTGCCATTGTTCAGGCAGAGGCGTCCTTTACCTGCACCAGCATGTGGTCCTGCCCATGGGAGACAATTCTCCACAAACTTCTCCAATGGTAGTCCTTCCCATGGGCTGCAGTCCTTCATGAACTACTCCGTCATGGGTCCCTCCCATGGGGTGCAATCCTTTGGGAACAGGCTACTCCAGCATGGGTCCCCCATGGGGTCACAAGTCCTACCAGGAAACCTGCTCCATCACAAGTTTCCTACAGTTTCACAGCCTTCTTTCAGGCATTTGCCTACTCTGGCACGGCACTCCTCCATGGGCTGCAGTGGGACAGCCTGCTTCACCATGGTCTGCGCTATGGGCTGCAGGGAAATCAGCTCCGGCACCTGGAGCACCTCCTGCCCCTCCTTCCATACTGACCTGGGTGTCTGCAGAACTGTTCATCTCACATATTCTCACTCCTCTCTTCTCTGGCTGCAATTACAACTGCACAATATTTGTTTTTTTTCCTTCTTAAATATGTAATCACAGAGGCGTTACTACCATTTCTGATTGGCTCAGCCTTAGCCAGCAACAAATCCATCCTGGAGCCGGCTGGCATTGGCTCTGTTGGACATGGGGGAAGCTTCCAGCAGCTTGTCATGGAAGCCACCCCTGTAGTACCCCCAGCTGCGGAAACCAGGCCATGCAAACCCAATACATGAATTTATTTATTGGACATTACATGGAACTTTCATTTAGCAGAATGATACAGCAATTTACTTAAATAACAGTGCAAGTACAAGTTACATTTAGCAGAGTATAGCAGTTGCAATGTACAGTTGTATCACAATACAAATGTGCCATTACTGGTCTCCATCACAATGCTGGGCATCCCCAGATTTTGGGAAGAAATATGTGGGTTGAAACGGACTCAAGCCTGTTGCTCTACTCAATGTTCTGTCTCTTAGTTGGACCATTTTTATACTGTATATGCTACACTTATTTTTTATACTTGGTTTTGGCTCTATACTAAGTTTTTATAATGAGTTTGGCTCAGCCATGTATACACCCACCCATTCTGGCTTCACTAATGCAGGACTATATTATCAACTCAAGGGCAGATACACAGTCATTTTAATCCCTTAACTGTTGTAGCCATTTATCTATGACAAAGACTACCTTCAGTCTCCTTTGTGTTAAGTTCAGCTTTTTGTAACAGTTGTCATCAGTAACTCCCTAATTCTTCACTTAACTTCATGAGTACATAGTCCTTGCCTGTCTCCTCAACCTTCTTCCATTGTAGAAACTCATTGGTAAATCACATCATGACATGTTTAAGCTTTTTTACTTGAAAAAGAGAACTTTTCTATAAGATACCTTTTTGACATTGTGTATAAACAGATTTGATTGCTCAATAATTCCATAATTTATATTGTAGGTCATGCAGGAGTCTCTGCGAACATGATGAAGAAAAGAACTTCCCACAAGTAAGTTCCTAATACTTCCTCAAGTGTAGTTCTCAATAACTGGCAGTACCATTCTAGGAATGTATCTGTATTGTTCCAGTCATTTTGAAAAAAATGTGGAGCAGTATTCAAACAGTGTATGTGTGTAGAATCAGACTTTAATTCTTTTGGGAAGACAATGGGAAAGAATGCACCATTGGTACAGTTCTAAACATTTTGAATGTTATTCTGAGACAAATTAATCTTTCAATAAAGTTCTGTAACTTATAATTCAGAAACAAGAGATTGCAAGCCATAAATTTGGCATATGTACTCTAGGATTCATTACAGCTTTAGTTTTTGAAAATTATTTTTTACCTTTTTAAAAAATACTCAATGTACTGTAGTATGGCTACTATTTGTGTGAAGGTTACTTGCTTATCCTATACATTCATCACATTTATTATTCACTCTACTAGAGTTTGAGATAGTAGTAGCTAAATGTTCCTATGAGTAAATGTGAGAAGATATAGGTAGTAGCTTAGACAAAATTTACCTTCATTTCTAACAGCTAGATGTTGTATCTGGCTGCATCTCTGGTGGGTGAGCTCTAAAAAAAGCTGGAAAAAGGCGAAATTTATTAAAATGCTATTAGTTATATTTTGAGTATGAAGTCCTATAATGCTGATATACAACAGGCATAAATCTAAAACAATTTTTCTGGCAGAAATATCTTCCATGATTAACATTTGAATTAGTATTAACTATTTCCCAGATGCAACACCTGATGTAAAACTACTCTTAATTCCTTCCACCAACTCTTCATTATTCAGTCTTGTCTATCTCCTTACAAGGCAGAGATAAACATTTATTTGTCTAGAGACAGGTAGAGTTAAAATTTAATTTCTCTTGTTCTTTTTCAACCGCTCAGAAAAAGGAGTGTATGATGGGAAGACTATCAGAGGTGGGTTGCCTTTTGTACTTGAGGGTGGCTAGATTTGTCTTTGTTCTTGTTTTGATATACACTTATTTTAATGCCTAAATAGGTTGTATATTTTTTAGCATAAAGGCTTTTATGGGGCATATTAAGTCATGATCCTAAATCACGTGATTTTGAGGCATTTAACTTGAGCACCCAACTGAGTTTTATATTGATTTAGCCTAGTTTAATTGTTTAAGAATTGTTTGGTAAAGCTTTTATTTTGTACCAAACCAAGATGACTTTGTTTGTTGCTCAATGACTTCTCTGCAAATGACACACTAGTATAGAGTTGTTTTTATTTGATATTCATTGCTTATATTTTTGAAATGAACAGTAAGTATCACTGTAGACACGTTTATAGTAAACAAGTGAGATATGAATCACTGTTTTAAAATGTATACTGGAAAGGGTGGCATTGCAACTACCTCTTCTTCATCAAGAAGGAGTCCTACCAGAAAAACCAGCCTGAGAGGGCAGATCTGGCTCCCAAAAATACTGACATGGAAGCCAGCCATGCTCCTTCCAACAAACCAATTTTTAAACTACACAATCACCATAGTGATTTGCACAATAGTGCAAAGGATCACACTGTGGGCAATCCCAAAGCCAGTGTTCTGATTCGCAATACCACTTTCTTTGGCACTTATAACAGAAACACTAAGTCCACACTTGGTGGGAATAGTCTCTGAAAATAAAACAAGGGATAGGGTTATTTTCACATTTAAGTCCAAGCCTCCTTTCACTCTGTCTCTGCCATTTTTCTCAGAGGGAGACTTGTTCTGCAATTAGAGCTTCTACTATCTCTGGAACAAGTCAACCATACAGCTCGCAAACTGGTGAGAGATTGATGAGTCCCCTTGGGTCAGGTAGAAGCTGGTTCAGGTGGCCGCGGGCTCTTGGGGGATCCGGACTCTGCAGTCTGAGAAGGCAGAGCTGACGGTGAAGTGGGCAAAACCGGGGAGGAAGTGCCAGGGTGATCAGGATCCTCAGGAGAGGTATGCAGGAATTCTCTAATAGGTCTCACGTTCTTGTCTGGGATCCACCTCAGGCCGTTTTCTGTGGAGACACAAGCAAAACCTCTTCCCCATGTGACAAGGGGATAAGGTCCCATATTTTTACCTTTTTCTGGGTCCTTAATAAGGACAGGGGCTTTTTGCTTAACTTCTAACTGAGGGTTTTTGCCAAAATGCCTTACAAATGGAGGGTTAGGATCCATGGGGGAACAATTTAAAAAGTTAAAAACATACAATGCCTTCTGTAATCACTCTGCTGGGGTAGCATTCTTCATTCCCCCTTTCTATTGTAACAAAAGACGTTTCAGTGAAGCATGGGCCCTTTCGATTATAGCTTGGCCCGTTGAGGAATGAGGAATCCCTGTTTTGCGTGTTATCCCCCAGAGGGCAAGGAAATTTGCAACTCTCTGAGAAATATATGCTGGGCCATTATAAGTTTTGACTTGTGAGGGGATACCCAGTGTAAAGACGTAGGATGCTCCAGGACGGTTTGGGTGGATACAGACGAGAGATCTCTGTTGGTTTCTCTTGGAAGAGAAGGTTTATTCGGGATGGTGAGAGGTCCTGCCTTGAGCTGCTAGATGCAGCACGTGGCAGGGCCTGAGGTGATGGGGGAGGGGAGAGACAAAGAGAAGAGCAGGGACTCCAAGAGGGGGGGATCCAGGAGGAGGGAAGAAGTTCCAAGAGGGCTTTCTGGCCCCTCGGAGACCCCTTATCAGGGGGCTTCAAGGTGGGCTGGAACAAGACTTGGGACAATGGGGTTACAGACACTTGATGTTTCAGGGGAAGGTTACAGGTGTGGGGTGAACCATACATTCTGAGGGGTGAGATGGAACAGTCCATTTGACTTTTGGACCTATCTGTAGGTAAGGGTATTTTCCAGCCAGTAGGGGGCATGATATTCATCCTGGCTGTACTATTGTGGTTCTTCTGCTAGGCAATCATATTTATCTATCCTTCCCAACAACCCAGGACTACAAAGGCACTCGTAAAGTGGCAGCAAACGTCATTTGCTGATTCTTCTGTATGAAAGGATGCAAATAAAGCATCTGAAAAGGTATCAATAGAGAAATGAATGTACTTAAATCTGCCAAATTCGGGAAAATGAGTAACATACATTTGCCAAATTTGTAGGCTTTGAAGTCCTCTAGGGTTAACACCTCCTGCAACGGAGGGGAAGGAGTGTCTTTGACAGTCTGGGCACACAGCCACAATACTAACAGCTTGGCATGTGGTCAAGTCAAAGGCGTGGGTGAGCGCAGCAGCATTTTGGTGAAAAAATAAGTGACTGAGTTTTTCCTGGGAAAAGTGGTTCAGCAGTTGAACAGGTAGGGTAAGTAAATCTGCTTGCTGTTTTCCTTCTGCAATAAAACCAGGCAAATTAGTGTGAGACCTGACATGCATGACAAAATAGGGGTCCTGCCTAGTATCTAAAAGGAAAACAAGTTGAAACCACTGAAACAATTCTTTGTTGGGAACATCCTTTAGTATGGCAGCTTCAGCTCTCTCCACAAGTCCTGCAACATAAGCAGAATCTGTTATGAAGTTAAAAAGGGTAACAAATCACTGGAAGGCCTGCACAACAGCTTCCAATTAAGCAATCTGGGGAGAACCTGAAACAGTAGAGAAATCTGAATCCCATTGGTTGAGATCTGTTTTCCATCAAATCAGTACCGACTTATGGGTGCAGCCAGATCCATCTGTAAATACAGTTAAAGCTTATAATGGAACCTCATTTCTCTTGGGTCATGTTAGGAGATTAAAGCTGGTTGCCACAAGCTTGTGATTCAGGGGATATGTAGAAAGTTGTCCAGAAAAATCAGTGAGGGCCATTTGAAAAACTTCGGATTGCTGCAACAACCACTGTAAATAGACAGTAGTAATAGGCAAACAGATCAAACAAAAATCCACACCTGCAAGTATGGTAAGTCTCTGTCTAGCTTTTACAATGAGCAAAGCAAATATCTCATGTTGTGTGCTTATAGTTTTAGACATTTGGTGTGGCAGAAAAAGCCACTCTATTGTCAGCAAGGGTTCAGGCACTTTAGGATCTCACTGAAAAGTCAAAGCATGGGGTTACCTAGCCAGATTCAGAATTATTAAAGAAAAAGGCAACTCAGGGGCCCATTGGGCTGCTTGATGATTTGAAATAGCATCAACTACTTGCTGCAGTGCCTGTCAGGCTTCTGGTGTGAGTTGCTGAGGCAACAGGAGATCTGGTTCTACTTTTAACCGATCAAACAAAGGGCTCACATCTGCATTTGAGATTCCTAGCAAGGAACTAACTCAATTAATTGAACCCAAAAGCTTTTGAGCATCATGCAAACTGAAAATGTTTGTTTGAATTTGTAAAGGCTGAGGAGAAATACTCTGGGCCCTAATGCGCCAGCCAAGGTATTTCCAAGAGGGTTGATGCTGGATTTTTTCGGAAGCAGCACAAAGCTCTGCCTGGGTTACAGCAGCAACAACAAGGGCTAAGGCTTCCTCCATAACTTCCTGTTTTTCTGCTGCAATAAGAATGTCATCCATGTAATGATATAATAAAGCAGCAGGCATCTTTTGGCGAATGGGGCTGAGGACCCATGCAATAAACCACTGGCAAATAGTAGGACTGTTTTTCATGCCCTGGGGAAGGACCACCCAGTGATACCTTTGCAGGGGTGCTTGCATATTGGTGCTTGGGACAGAAAAGGCAAATTTAGGAGCATCATCAGGATGCAAAGGAATGTCAAAAAAGCAATCTTTTAATTCAATGTCTGTCAGGTGCCAATCTCGAGGGATCATGGTGGGAGATGGAAGACCAGGCTGGAGTGCTCCCATGTCCTCCATAGAAACATTGATTTTGCAGAGGTCTTCCACTTGCCAGTTTGTTTTTTAATTACAAACACAGGTGAATTCCAGGAACTGGTAGAGGGGACTATATGTCCCTTCTGAAGTTGTTCTTGGACAAGGTTAGTAAGAGCACACAATTTAGGTAGTGGCAGGGGCCACTGGTCTACCCAGAGGGGTGTATCAGTTTTCCAGGTTAATTTCAGGGTGTCGCATGC